AGGAGTCCATGACAGAAAAAGGTGAAGAATCCCTGCTCTGGATCACCAGATTGCCGAAAACATTGAAGATTTGGATGACAGCCCATCAGGAAGGAGAGGGTGCGTTTGCTTCTGTCTGGAAGGAAGGGACATTGGCTTCTGGAATTGTCTCCAGCAGGGGCTGGAGTGGAAATCCCAGCTCTGCAAACGTCCTCATGGGGCAATGGGCTGGGAGCGCAGGGGGATGAGCCATCCCATCTGGTCCACCTGGAATCCCCGGCTCTCCCTCCTTGGGGACGGCAGGTTGTTTGGTTATATATGGACAGCTGAGAGCAATTTCCCCTTTTCCAGTCTAAAGGAAGCCAGCCGCTCCCATTGCGTTTGTCAAAGGCATGTATGTGAGAGGGGAGCGAGCATGTTTACCCAATGGGCGCAGGGCCAGAGCTGCTTCTGCTCCTGGCTCAAGGTTTCCCAGCCTCCTCTGCTGCAGACAGAGATGGCCAGATAGGACCAGCTGCCAGCCAGGATGCCAGAACTTCAAAGGGCTCTCTCATCCGCCGCACTAAGGGCCCTTACAGGATGCCTGGATGGAGATGCCAATGGCTTCTCTGTCTTCGCTCGCAGTTCTGGCTGGACCATCTGCAGAATACAGAAATGCCTCTTCTCTACCTAAGGCGGAGCCAGGTGTGATATGCCTGTAAACAGGAACACTTTTGCTGCCCATCATCACAGCTGTCTTCACTTTATGGGCACAAATGACAACCGGATCTCTCCTCGAGGGCGAATTAAAATGCAAGCTCTGTCCCCCCTCCCCCCAAAGTTCTGTCAATCTGAGGTAATCCAAGTTCACTGAACAGCACCGGAGGCTCTGTAGTCAGGAGGAGACCTCAAAGGTGGCAGGAAAGACCTCGGGCCCCCTCGCAGAAGCTTCTCAGAAGCAAAGGTTGGCCAATACCTGAAATTCTAAAATTCTCTCTTTAGGGTTTAAATCCTTTGGTGAATGCTTTGGAAAGCCCTGATCAAATGCAAATATCAGTGGGAGGGGCAACACTTAGCTCTAGGTGGGGATCCAAGGGGCATGGGGAATTGCCACCATAATGGGTTGAGGAAGACCCAGGACGGTGGACCTAGATCATTCGGTTGAGGCCAGTCCTGGCTGACCAAAAACAGCATTACGGAGCAAGCGTGATGTTTGACAAGGAGTCAAAGACCTCCCGACCATATCCTTTGCTACCCGTCTGTCCTTGGACACATCACTCCCCCTCTCTGGCCTCAGTCTCCTCATCTACAAAGTGGACAGAACAATGTCCTACCTCACGGGCTTTTTTGTGAGCACTGAATGTGATCTTCTAAACTGCTCTGAAAAGCTTATTTGTTATTGTGTGGTCATTTTGTTCAGTCATGTCTGACTCTTCATGATCCCATTTGGGGCTTTCTTGGCAAAGACACTGGAGTGGTTGGCCATTTCCTTCTCCAGCTCATTTTACAGATGAGGAAATCGAGACAAACAGGGTTAAGTGACTTGCTCAGGGTCACACAGCTAGTTAGTGAGCTTTTTTTTTTTTAAACACAGCTAGCTATTTTTATTTGTCCCATGACCAAAAAGACTTTGTCTCTTTGTCCTTTGGTCTTGAGCGAAGTGATTATTTTTTTTTTTTTGCCAGGCTCCAGGGAAATATGATTAAATGAGCACGAGGACACCCTCCCCCACCCCAAGCAGAAGGCTTCATGGTGTTCTGTGCTAATAATTTTTTTTATATCTAATAATATCCTTTATTGTTTCATCTTTCCTTAAACTCTGTAACCCCTAAGGTCATTCTTCATTTTCATTTAATAGTATTTTATTTTTTTCCAATTACAGATACTTTTCAACATTCCTTTTTTTTTTTGGAGGTGACATGGTGAGACCTGTATTTTATTTTTAGTTTTCAACATTTACTTCCACAAGATTTTGAGTTCCAAATTTTCACCCCTCTCACCCCTCCCCCACCCCAAGATGCCATGCATTCTGAGTACCCCTTCCCCTAGTCTGCCCCTCCTTCTATCTCTCCCCCCCTTCTCTTATCCCCTTCCCCTTCTATTTTCCTGGAGGGAAGGATAGACTTCTGTACCCCATTTCCTGTATTTCTTATTTCCCAGTCACATGTGAAAACATTTTTTTAAACATATGTTTTTAAAACTTTGGGTTCCAAATTTTCTCCCTTCCTCCCTCCCCACCCACCCTCATTGAAAAGGCAAGCAACTCAATATAGGTTATACATGTGCAGTTATGCAAAACAATTCCATAGTAGACATGTTGTGGAAAACTAACTCTATTTCCCTTAATCCTATCCTGCCCCCTCACTTACTCTGTTCTTTCTTTTGACCCTGTCCCTTCTCAGAAGTATTGCTTCTGATTGCCCCCTTTCCCAGTCTACCCTCCTCTCTATCATTCCTCTGCTGTCTGGTGCCCTCCCCCCCCCATTTTCCTGTAGGGTAAGACAGATTTCCATACCCAATTGAATGTGTATGTTATTCCCTCCTTAAGCCAAATCCTGTGACAATAAGATTCACTCATTCCCTCTCACCTTCCCCCATTTCCCCTCCACTGTAAGAGCCTTTTTTTTCCTTTTTTTGTGAGATAATTTACCCCATTCTACCTCTCCCTTTCTTCTTCTCCTAGTATAATCTTCTCTCCTCCCTTAATTTTATTCTCCAGATATGACCCCTTAAATTTCAACTCACCCTGTGCCGTTTATCTATCTATCTATCTATCTATCTATCTATCTATCTATCTATCTATCTATCTATCTATCCATATGTATAAATACATAAAATTTTTCCCCTTCCAACTACCCTAATACTGAAAAAGGTCTCATGAGTTATAAATATCATCTTTCCATGCAGGAATGTAAACAGTTCAACCTTAATAAGTCTCTTATGATTTCTCTTTCCTGTTTACCTCTTCATGTTCCACTTGAGTCTTGTATTTGAAAGTCAAATTTTCTATTCAGCTCTGGTCTTTTCATCAAGAATGCTTGAAAGTCCTCTATTTCACTGAATGACCATTTTTTCCCCTGAAGGATTATACTCAGTTTTGCTGGGTAGGTGATTCTTGGCTGTAATCTTACTCCTTTGCTCTCCAGAATATTATATTCCATGCCCTGTGGTCCTTTAATGTAGAAGCTGCTAAATCTTGTGTTATCCTGATTGTGTTTCCACAATACTTGAATTGTTTCTTTCTGGCAGCTTGTAATATTTTCTCCTTGACCTGGGAACTCTGGAATTTGGCTACAATATTCCTAGGAGTTTTCCTTTGGGGATCTCTTTCAGGAGGAGATCAGTAGATTCTTTCCATTTCTATTTTGCCCTCTGGTTCTAAAATATCAGGGCAGTTTTCCTTGATAATTTCTTGAAAGATGATGTCTAGACTATTTTTTAGATCATGGCTTTCAGATAGTCCAATAATTTTTAAATTCTCTGTCCTGGATCTATTTTCCAGGTCAGTTGCTTTTCCGATGAGATATTTCACATTGTCTTCTGTTTTTTCATTCGTTTGGATTTGTTTTACGGTGTCGTGATTTCTCATAAAGTCACTAGCTCCCAATTACACTATTCTAATTTTTAAGGAAGTATTTTCTTCAGTAATCTTTTGGACTTCCTTTTCCATTTGGCCGATTTTGCTTTTTAGGGCATTCTTCTCCTCATTGGCTTTTTGGACTTTTTTTGCCATTTGGGTTAGGCTATTTTTTTAAGGTGTTATTTTCTTCAGTATTTTTTTGGGTCTCCTTTAGCAAGCTGTTGACTTGTTTTTCATGATTTTCTTGCATCTCTCTCATTTCTCTTCCCAGATTTTTCCTCTACTTCTCTTACTTGCTTCTCAAAATCCCTTTTGAGCTCTTCCAAAGCCTGAGACTGATTCATATTTTTCTTGGAGGCTTTGGATGTAGGAGCTTTGACTTTGTTGTCTTCTTCTGGTTGTATGTTTTGATCTTCTTTGTCACCAATGTAAGATAATATAGTCTGACTCTTTTTGCGCTGCTTGCTCATGATCCTGGCCAATTACTTGAGTTTTAAACTCTTTGTTAAGGTAAGAGTCTGCTTCCAATGTGGAGAATGTACTGTCCCAAGCTTTGGGGGTTTGTACAGCTGTTTTCAGAGATACTTGTAGGGACCTGTAAATTTTCAGTTCTACCAAGGTTGTATGATAAGGGGTGAGGTGTTTACTCCTTTCCTGGCTTGTGACTTGGTATATTAGTGACCACAAGCACTCCTTTCTGTCCTGTAACTATGAGGAGGGTTTTCTCTTTACAGCCACTACAAGCTCCACCTCGCCAGTGCTCCTTCTTGCCCCAGGACCGCCACCCAGAACTGTCACCCAGATCTAAGCATGGGCAAAGCAAGAGATTCCTGCCTCAGCACTGGCAAAGAGATCCCTGTAATCCCCTTCTGATCAGCCACTTGATTCCCCCTCAGTCTGTGGGCCAGAAGCTCAGGAGGCAGCCACTGCCCTGGGGCCCATGCTCTGTGCTCTGAACTCTGTGTTCTGGAACTGGCTCCGAGACCTAGCTCCTCTCTCACTGCAGAAGCAGACTTTTCCCACTGACCGACCTTCTAAGTTGTCTTTGGTGTTCGTGGGTTGAGAAGTCTGGAAACTGCCACAGCTGCCCACGATTCAGTTCTCTGAGGTCTGCTCCAGGTTTGTTGTGGCCTGTGCCCCCATGCCACACTGCGTTACTCCCCCTGCACGGTGTGATACACCTTTCTGATCAACCATCCAGGTTGTCTTGGGCTGGAAATTTGCTTCACTCTGTCTTTTTGTGGGATCTGCTCCTTTAGAATTTATTTAGAGCCATTTTTTATAGGTATTTGGAGGGGTTTGGGGGAGAGCTCAAGCAAGTCATTGCTTTCACTCTTGCCATCTTGGCTCTGCCTCATAAGTGAGCTTTTAGATAGAACTTTTATCTCTCTACAAATATTAGCTAATATTTATGTTAATCATTTGTGTTAATGCCTCTTGTTTCCTCAGATATTCATTTGAAGTTGTGACACTTCCCTTTGTTATAGAATCATGAAAATATGGGTTTGGAACTGGAAGGAACCTCAGGTGTGTCCAACTCCCTCCCTCATTCATTGTATGAGAAGACTGAGGTCCTTTGGGAGTAAGTGACTGAAGCATGGCTAGTGTCTGGGGTGGGATTTAAACCTGGCTCTTCCTGGCTCCAAGAATGACACTCTTAACCACTTCATCACACTCTGTTTCTTCCCCCTCACATTTTGCATTCACAAATTTTTGTTCAGCTGTGTTTAAACCTTACAGGGCTTTGAATAACATGTCTAGAGAATCTGGGAGCACAAGTTGGCCTCAAAAGAAATTCATATTATCACCTTTAGATCTGGAGATCATCACACTCACCTCTCAGACTTCTGAAAACATCGACTGGCAAGGTGAAAGGTATTTCATGGCTCAATGGAAGGGGATGGGATCTGGAAGCAGGGAGCCCAGGCATATCCTGCCTCTGTGATTTTGAAGAAATGGCATTGCCCCCCGGGCCTTGGTTCTCTCATCTGTAAAATGGGAGGATTAGACTCGATGGTCTGTGGGGTTCTTTCCAGATCTAGATCAAAGATGCTCTATGGTTCTTTCTAGATTTATGATCCTAGGACATGTAGAAAATAGGTCTTCTACTTTTCATGTGCTACTGATAACCAGAGGGTAGTGGAATCTTCTGATCCTTCTGTTAAAGACTCTTGTGTGGGCCTACATGTGGGATCCCATGTAGAAACATTTTACTTAATTGCATCAAAGACTTACAAATGTAGCCATAGTAGTGAGCTGTGACCACCATGATCATGGGGAAATGGGGAAGGGAAAGTGGGGAGGGAGAGAGAGAGAGAGAGAGAGAGAGAGAGAGAGAGAGAGAGAGAGAGAGAGAGAGAGAGAGAAGAGAGAGAGAGCTCTTCAACATGTTCTTAATTTCCAGCTTGCCTCCGCAAGAGACCAGGAAATATCCCCTTTGGTGAGATTGTGGCCTCCTTTTTGGTCAAGCTGAGGTCGCATATTGCTGTCATCAGAAGAATCCACTTATTCTAGTGTTTTTTCTAGTATATTCTGATCGTAAATCATCTCTGATTTCTATTTGTTATTTGCTAAAATAAACTCTTGGGTTTACTCACTATTCATTATTAGTGATGTCTTTTGTGTAACTAGCATTTGGTGGGAAGGCATAATGACATGTGTAAGCTTGGAACAACTCTCTCCCTTTAAGGGATATTGGCCAAGAAAGCAGCTCTGATCTGAGTCTATGTATGCTTAGATCAACAATATTTAGGGGAGTAGTTTGATATGCTTTTAATCTGCTAGTACCTTTGTAGGCTGCGTGGAAGGATGCTGAGCAAACAGCTTTGAGAACTCTGAGGCCTGTCTGTATCTCCCATCAAGCTATTCTGCTGCATCTTCCCCTCTCTTCAGAGGTGGTCCAGATCCCACATCATATCTATCAATATTGCCTGTGAGCTATATTTGGATAATCTGTGTGGATATACATAAATTATATAGGTAACACATTCATCTTACGTATACATTTATGTTTTTATACACACATATGTACGTATACCAGTGTGCTAGTAAATATTTGACAACCAACTTTCAAAAAATGTTCACATGACACATAAAAGGTTAATTTGTGTTATTAATATTTTCTCTGTTACTTTCTTAAGCCTAAGCAATGTCAAACTCAGATAGAAATGGGGCCCACTAAAGTGCACATAAAGGATCCCTGGGGGCCACATATAAACTTACAAAATCACACGTTAATATTACTTATGTTCTTTTGAATTTTTATTTATTTTGTTAAATATTTCCCAATTACATTTTAATTCAAGGAACTCAGAAGAGGCCTCGTGTTTGACATCTTTTGTCCAGCAAAGCAATAAATTAAATCAAGTTCTGATTTGTAGCATCTGCCAATTTCTGAAGTGAAACTGCTTACTGAATAATTGGTCTTCAAGAGCTAATTTGATCTGTCTCCTCAAACACCTTGTATATGTATATATGTACTTGTATAAGCATGGATGTACATGTGTGTATATGACCATACATATGTATACATGAACAGAAGTGCATGTTTATAGCTGTGTGTATGTATATACATGTATGTATACACATATATGCAAACATATATGCAGACAGGCATAGACACATATAAGCCAGAAGGGCAGGTAGAGTTCATTCTCTTCATGGAGGACAGCCTTTGCAAAGGTACAGATAGAATGTGATAGGCAGGGAATTTGAGGAAATAAGATACAGCAATAAATAAAATGGTGGCCCAGTAAGGGTCCAGAATGCAGGCAGGCAGTGACTGATCGGGTTTAATTGTTTGGGTTTTGTTGCCTCAGAGTGGGTGTAAACAGCAACTGTCTCTGTTCTGGCCAGAAACCCTGAGGGTCTTCTCTTCCCAGACTGATTTTTTTTCCTTTCAGTAAGTAAAAGAGGTTTTTTTTTTTTGCCTCATTTCTTGCCTAGCCTTAATCACTGAATGGGTATTGCCTCAGACAAACTAAGACCTGGGAAAGACCTTAGCTTCAAAAGTCCAAGGCCTCCCACTGCATGCAAGGCCATCTCCAGTAGTACTGATTTGTATCTGGCCACTGGACCCAGGTAGCTCTAGAGGAGAGAGCAAGGCTGGTGACTTTTCACAGCCCTGCTTCACTTAAGGGCAATTCACCTGCAAATCAAGACATCACCTCCTGATGTCATGGTCTTCTCTGAGAATGAAGGACGAATAAGACAGTGACTGCTTCCTGATGGTTGGTGAGAGGAGAGGGGAGGGAGACAGCCAGGATGTCTTTGGAAGCTAGATTCCAATGAAGTCTTTCCCCCAGTTAATAGATGAAGGAAGGTAGTATTTTCATTAGGGCAATGATGGGAATCAGCTCGTTGTAACCCAGTCTGTAAGTATTCCCAGACTGAAAGTGAACTCTGAAAACATCTTTCCAAGATACTACTGAGACAAGAACCCAGGTCAGTCAACAAGAAGTTTGCCATGAATTTTGACAGCAAGAACAATGGAGAACTAAGGTTCTTTGTTTCTGTTTCAGCACATAAGGAGACTAAGGGAAGGATTCCTTGAGAGATTGATTTAAGCCTTGTTGATTCAGTCTCCATAATACCTTTCACAACTGTCCCTTCCTTGCTTTTCTCAAGACTACCACCTAGTATAGGACTGCTTTATCCCTACCCAGACTCATGCCACAGCCTAATAGGTCTTCCCACACCATTATGAAATGCAATGCCAGGCAGGCTGGCATTTTTGACACTCCACATTTTTGGCAAGCTGAATTCAACAAATTCTGAGCAAAGGTTGGTGGGGTGCTATGGACTACAATTGTACAGGAACTGTCACTTCAGGGGAGAAGGGGTACTCTGAAGGATGAAATCTTGCTGCCATCAACACAAATGGTTCCACAGAGTGGCCATTCCTGAAATGTTGGAGAATGTCTATCTTCATGGTAGAGAGAGACTGATCTGAAAACTAGTGACACGTCTTCCAAGATGTGATCATTTGAATTTCTGAAGTCAGAGCCCCCGGGTTTGAATTCCTGCTCTGTTGCAGTGACTCTGGGCTAGTAACCTCATTTACCTGGGCATCACTTTCCCTATCTGTAAAACCTGATGGCCTCTGAGATCCCTCCCAGTTCTGTGAGTTTATGTTACACATCTCTTTTTGTTTTCTCTCTTCTCTTTTGATAAGACTCTGGACAAGGGACAAAGAATGAAGATTCAAACTCAGAGAGAAATATACCAAATGTCTTGTCAGTTGTAGGGCCCAGATCCTGGCTTTCAGTTTTATTTGACAGGAAATTAATGGAAAATTCCAATCCACCTCCCAATAATGCTGTGCAGAATGATTAGTCACAGCGGTTCTCCCCTTGGGGTCTGAGATGGTGCCAACATTGCACCCACCTGGGCACAGAAGAAGAAAAATAAAAACTCTCTTGACTCCAACTGTTTGATAACTGCAAAGAAATCAAGGCTGCCACAGACACTGACTGACCCCAGCTTCCTCAGGTTGCTTGGAATTGGGCCTGCAGAAATTGATATCTTCCCCTGACCAGCTAGAGGGAACTGGAGACTGAAAACAAATTTGGAAAACATAGCACGTTGGTGAACGAGTCACCTTATTGGGTAAGTGGAGATGCAAGGCACAGAAAAGGGGGAGAAGATATCTTTACTAATGAGGGTTCAAGCATCATCACTCTTCTGATTTTTATCAGTCATTCTTGGAAACAAGGGCTGGTGGTGACATGATAAGCTTGCACAGATGTCTTCAGAACCTTATCTGACTTTGAGGTAGAGTGAGTATTTGATTTTAAAACAAGAAAAAATAATGTCAGTTTTGCTTGATAGCAACATGACACAACTAAGAGTCAAGCCGTACTGTCTTTGGAAACAATCAGTGCATGGTTAGAGATTGTCAGAGAGCTCAAGGGAGGAGACAAAACTGTGTTTGGGGAATAGTCCAAAGACCCTCGTTTGATGGATAGCAAGCCACTTGATATCTGTGAAATGAATCAGCTGATTGTCGTTTTGATTTGGTCTGGTTTCCAAACTCTGATTTCATTGATATGGGGAACTTCCAGTGTGGTAATCCCCTCCACTGGTGCAGTTGGCATTTCCTCTTTAACTTACAGATGTAGAGAGTTTCATGAGGCAATGGGGAAATTAGGGCCATATAGCCAGTTAGATGAAGGCTTGAATCCAAACCTTTTTAACTTCTAGGTCAGTCCTCTCTTCAGGGTATGTGTGTGCGTGTGTGTGCGTGTGTGTATGTGTGTGTGTGTGTGTGTGTGTGTGAGTGAGTGTGTACACATACACATAAGCATATACACACATACATGTATATATACATATATATTATTTAAAGTTTTGAGTTCCAAATTCTATCTCTCCCTCCTTCCCTTCCTTCCTCCCCCCACAATGGTAGGCAATGAGATATAGGTTGTGCATGTGCAATTATGTAAAACATTTACATATTGGTCATTTTGTAGAAGAAAACTCAAAAGATAAAAGAAAGTGAAAAATGCTTTGCTCTGTATTCAAACATCAGTTCTTTCTCTGGAGGGGGATAACATGCTTATCATTAGTCCTTTGGGATTGTCTCGGATCATTGCATTGCTGAGAATAGCTAAGTCATTCACAGTTCTTCTTCAAACAATATTACTGTTATTGTGTACAGTGTTTTCCTGATTTGGTTCACGTCAGTTAATTTCTCTATGCATCAGTTCATGTAACTCTTTCCAGTATTTTCTGAAATCATCCTGCTTGTCACTTTTTATAGCACGATAATATTTTATTACAACCACATACCACAGCTTGTTTAGCCATTCCTCAATTGATGGGCATCCCTTTGATTTCCAATTCTTAGCCACCACAAAAAGCTATTATAAACATTTTTGGTCAAATAGGTCCCTCTTGCTTTTTTTTTTCCTTTAATTTCTTTGGGATGTAGACATAACAATGGTATTGAAGAGCTTATATTTTAATGGAAGGCAGGAGTTAAAGACATCCACTTTTCTGCTTAAGTGTCTGGAATGAAAGTGAGCGAGAGCTGCAAAAAGTGAAAGTGTAACTCAGTTTTGTAGTCCCAAGGAATCCTTCCTTTTCAAAAACAAAGGCATTTTAAATTAATCACTTAGAAGACTGTAATTGAAAGGATTACTTTCTGCACAGTTTCAATTTAGGTTAGGATCTCAAGATATAATGACATGTACTCGGTGTAATCTTAACAAATAATCACATTTATTTTACAATGAATAATAATGATTAAAGCAAAACACACATAAAGATAAGAAAAAACATTCAATATGGTAAGTAATAATCAAAATAAAGAAAAGGGGTAATAAGAAAAGAAAGGATACACACTCACTGACCAGGTGAGCTCAAATACCTAATAGACCGGGGAGACTGGAGAATGTCCAAGAGGTCTGGTCAGGGAAGCCAATGGAGCGGCATCCTGCCCTGATTCAACAGAATCTGTGCACGCAATCTGCTTCTGAACACAACAGAGATTAGGTGTCCCTACCTCTGACATCAGTCTCCAAAA